CCTGCATCTCCCTGCCCCCCCCCGCCGCCTCTTTCTCCCCGAGTTCGGCAAGCAGCGCTTGCCGGACTCGGGAAGAAAGAGGCGGCGGCGGCAGCAGTCAGGGAGATACAGGGCTTTTGGCGGGGGCTGGGGAGCTTTGGTGTGGGGGAGCCGGTTTGGCACACTCAGGGCCGGCCCGCGCTTTAGGCGAATGCCTAGTTCTACATGGGGCTGCCTTTGTCACAAATTTGGAGGCTGCAGCTGGTGCAGAATGCGGCGGCCAGGCTGGTAGTGGGGCCCCCTAAATGGGATCACATCCAGCCTGTGCTGAAAGCACTGCACTGGCTGCCTATAGTGTTCCAGATACGCTTCAAAGTGCTGGTGCTTACCTTTAAAGCTGTACATGGCCAGGGTCCGGCATACCTGAGGGACCGCCTTTCCCCATACAGGCCCCAAAGAGCACTTCGGTCGGGGTCACAACACCGCCTAATGGCCCCGGGCCCTAAAGAGGCCAGGCTTGCTGCCACAAGGGCCAGGTCCTTTTTGGTGGTGGCTCCTACCTGGTGGAATGAGCTCCCGGAGGAGATCAGGGCCCTGTGGGACCTTTTACAGTTCCACAGGGCCTGCAAGACAGAGCTCTTCCGCCCGGCTTTTGAGTAGGAGCCACCGCTGCCACTATTACCACCATCGTGCACTGCAGAGCAGTTCCGCCGGGGTGGGCTGATTAGCCACCCGGAACATCTTGGCCCATGGCATTCCCCCCTTTCTCCTGATCTCACTGTGATATACAATAATGAGTGAGTATCTTAATCGCCGATGTATCCTGCAAAATATGAATTTTGGTTTTAAGTGGTTAATCTGTGTAGTTTTATCGCACCTTGGGTGTCTTAATTGTTTTAATCCTGTTGTATTTTATTGCACTGTTGTGCCTATGCAAGCCGCCCTGAGCCCGCGTGCAGGGAGGGCGGGGTATAAATGAAATAAATAAATAAATAAATACTTTGCCTAGCGGGTGAGCCGGCCCTGGACCCACTGCTGACCTGTTGATCAGTTCCTCAAGCAGTTGCTGTTTTCAGGTGAGAATCTCCTGCCAATCATAAGCACTACCAGGTAATGACCTTGTCTACCTTCCTGGAACATGGAAAAAGTGCCACACTGGGGAAGAGCCACAAATAATATGTCAAAGATGTGGTTCCCCTACTGTTATCACTGCCATAATGTATAGAAACACACATTTGTATTAGAGAACCAGTGTGGTGTAGTGGTAAGATCTGGGAGACCCACGTTTGAATCCCCATTCTGCCATGAAAGCTGGGTAACCTTGGGCCAGTCACACACTCTCAGCCTAAACTATCTTAAAGGTAAAGGTAAAGGTCTTGCCCTCTGGAGCAGCAAAGAACAAGCCTTTGCCCTCCTCTTTTGGACAAATCTTCAGGGAGTGGAAGCCTGTGACGATCACCTCTCCCTTCGGCATTCTCTTTTGCAGTCTAAGCATACCCAGTTAGTTCAGTGTCTCTGGATAGGGCCCCCACACACACCATCTTTGTTGCTGTCCTCTGAAACTGTTCCAGTTTATCTACAAGTACCAGAACTGGCCTCAGTACATAATGGGCTTTGGCTGGTGGAGAACAGAATGGAAATACTACTTCTCATGATTTTGATACTGTACTTCTGTTAGCCTTTTTTTGCAAATGCATCACACTGCTGACTCATGCTCAGCTTGTGACTGATGGCAATTGCACAGGGCAAAGCCAAGAGCCACTATGCCCTTGCTCCTCCTTGCTGGTCTGGGTAAGGAGGAACACAGGCCCAGTGACTCTCGGCTTTGTCCTATGCTAGCATCACTGCATCCTTCTCACTGGCCCCACTGTGAGGCTTGGTGGCGTATTCCCTGGTAAAGTAAATGGCCAGACTACCTGGGTTGTATAAGGCATATACAGTTGTTCCATTCTGTGTGAAGTGGTCCTAATGCAACACAGACTTCTGATTTTTTACCTTTCTCAAAGCCTTAGGTCGGTGACCCACAACAAGGTACCAATAGGCACCATGGCACCCACCCGTGCGCTTCCTGGTGCCCGCTTGCTTCTCTGCCAAAGTATCTCATCCCAGAAGCAAAGAACCAGTCCTTGCTTTCCTCCACTACACTTAAATAGGAGGTGCTTCTCAAGAGCCTGAGAGGCATCACAAAAGGCAGACAGTGAAATTTCCCAGTGAGTCATTGCCCTAGTGGGCTGCTGGTAGCCAACAGCAAGCAGAGCCAAGCCCCAGCAACTTTGCTAACACCTAAGGGGCCACTTGGCTCAGACCTTCCTATGGCAATTACAGTTGGGGTCAGCTCACCAACAATGCTCCCTCTAAGCTGTGGATTCAGCCTCTGCTTGCAAGGAAGGACCGCACTCCAGGGAATTAATTTAATTGTCAAACTGCTTTTACCATTCGGCAGTTTCCCCCAACTGGAATCTAACCTCTCGCAACTCATGCCCTTAGATCCAGTCTTGCCCTCTGGAGCAGCAAAGAACAAGCCTTTGCCCTCCTCTTTTGGACAAATCTTCAGGGAGTGGA